AAAAAAAAAAAACCATTTGCACAAACCAGTCTCAGAACCGTTATTGATTTGGGCCCTTACAGGCAAATCAGCCTTTCTGCATTTGCGAAGATGTGGACCCCATGTCCGAGGTTTGGGCTGCACGGCCAGACTGCAGGGAGGCCGGCAGGGCCGGGAGTGGCGAAGTCAGCCTATTAACCTTCTGCATGAAGACTGACCTCCACCCGCCTTTCGCTCATCCGGGCCCGTTTGTTGCCTGTCCTGCCTCCGGGGTCACCTACTAGCATTGGGTGACAGATGCTGGTCACTGTCCACATGCAGGAATGTTACCCCGTTTCTGTCCGGTCCTTTCCTGCCCCAGGGAAGCCCTCCACAGAGGTTCCATGTCCCAGGTCTCCGTAACCTCGTTTTACCCCACAAAAAGCTGTAGTTCTTACAGGGCATGGCCCAGAGCCATGTCTGGCAAAGCCACCCTTGGCTCTGGTCCCAGGCTTCTAGCTCCCCATGAAGGCCTGGGGCTGTCTTAGTGTGTGGCTGGTGCTATTTTTAAAAGTAACTTTTCTGCCTTGACTACAAAGTGATAATATTTCCTTCTTCTCCCTCATCCCTGAAGCCATAAGCTAAGATTTTGGTTTTCAGGTCTTTTTTTTTACTCCAGAACGGGCCATGTTGGACGTACCTACTTCTTTTCACAGATGAGGGAGCTGCCTCCCCTGAAGGGGAACAGTCCCACGGGGCAAAACAAGGGGTCCGGGAGCATTGGGAGTCAACCCAGAACCACAATTTCAGAACCAGCAGGGATCTATCTATGACACGGCCTTGGTGCGGGGCACACCCACCCTAACTAAGATAAGGCAAAATGGATGGGCGCCCAGTGGATCGGCGAAGTGGCTTTGAGGACAGTCAGGTTGAATTCTGGACCTGCAACCTATCAGCTGTGTGGTTCTATGCTAATCACTTCTTTTTTTAATTTTCTTTCATGTTTATTTATTTTTGAGACATAGAGCGTGAGCAGGGGAGGGGCAGAGAGAGAGGGAGAC